ACTTTGAGTTCAAGGCCAACCTAGGCTACATAGTGAGTTCAAGGCCAGCCTGAACTTCACACCAAGACCCTGTCTCAGAAAGAGATAAATAGACAGAGAGAGGGAGTGTGTGCAAAAGGCTTATTGAAAGGAACTAGCTTATGTGATTGTGTGGGTCTGGTTAGGCAAGTCCAAAATCTGTAGAACAAGCTGGAATATTCAGGCAGAGGCTGCATATTCTTTTTGAGGGAAGCCTCAAGTCTGCTCTTAAGTCCCTTCACCAGATGGAGTCAGGCCCACTCAAATCATCAAGGATAATTTCTCTTCCTTAAAGACCACTTATGTATCACAAAGAATCAACAACTTGGATCTCATCTTATTAAAAAGCTTTTGCATGCCAAGAGAAACCATCAACAGTGTGAAGAGACAACCCACAGAGTGAGAAAAATTTTTCCAACTATTCTACAAAAAAAGGACTACTATCTAGAGTATAAAAGAACTAAAAAAAATCAGACCCTTCCAAATTAAAAGATCCAATCAAAAATGGGCATCTGAAATGAATAGACACTTCTCAGATGAAGTAGAAAGAAATATATGAAAAAATGTTCAACATCATTGGTCATTGAAGAAGTGCAAATTAAAACAACACTGAGATTCCATCTCACCCCCAAAAGAATGGCTGTCATGAAGAAATCAACCAATAACAAATGCTGTTGGGACTGTGGGGAAAAAGGAACCCTTCTCCACTGTTGTTGAGAATGTAGACTGGTGCAACTGCTGTGGAAATCTGTGTGGAGATTCCTCAGAAAACTAAAACTAGAGGATCCATTTGACCCAGATATTCCCCTTGTTGGTACTTTCCTGAAAGAATTAAAAGCATCATCCACAATGATATATGAATACCCATGTTTATAGCAGCACAGTTTGTAATAACTAAATCTTGGAAACACCTCAAATGCCCATCAACTGGTGAATGGATAAAGAAGACATTTTTTTTTTATATACAATGCAGTGGTACTACTCAATAAACAAATAAATAAATAAATAAATGTCTCAATTTGAGACATTTCTAGGTAAATGGATGCGTCTTGAGACCATATTCTTAAGTGAAATAAATTGGACACGTGTGTAATTACTGCATTGTTCCTCTATTGTGAGGCACCAAAAATATAAATAAGGACCAAAATGATTAATAGATATTGTGAAACAGGAAGAAAATGTTCAAATGGGAGGGAACCAGAGAGGGGGTAGGGAAAAAAGGAAAGAAGGGAAAAGAAAAAATGAGAACAAAGGTTTTGTAAATAAGGAGGGAAAGCTAGGTGTGGTGGCGCACGCCTCTAATCCCAGCACCCAGGAGGCTGAGGCGGGAGGGGAAAGGAAAAAAGGAATCAAAGTATATCATGTACAGGTACAAATTCTCTATGATGAATGTGATCATTATGTGTATTTAAAATGTATCAATAAAGTTAATTAATTTAAAAAGTTAACCAGTTATGGACATTCATGATATCTACAAAACACTTTTTTGGAACAGTTACATTAATGTTTTATTGGATGACTGGGGACTGTAGTCTAACTAAGTTGACACAAAAATAGACCCATCATACTCAAAATTTATAAACAATAGAAATCTACTGCTCACAGTTCAAGAGTCTAGGAAGTACAAGATAGGCACCTTTTGTCTGATGGGGGGTCCATCCTCATAGATTATTCTTGCTGCGTGTTGACATTGGTGAACAGCTCCTTTACAAGGACACTAATCTTGTGTGAGGGCAGAGGCTTCATGGTGTAATCACCTCTATCAGTTGGTTTTCCATCACTGTTGCAGAATGCCTGAAAAAATCAAAAGGGGAAAGTTTTGTAATGGTTGATACATTGTGTCAACTTGAGAAGTTCAGAAGTTTAAGTGACTCACTTTGTAAACATCCTGAGCCTATGCAAGAGGAGGGTGGGGAGATGGTGTGAGTGCTACACCCACTGAGGGCAGGTAGCCTGCAAACAATATAAGGGAGGAAAAGAGGCTTGTTCTCCCCCTTTTGCTCTTGCTTTTGCTGTCTTCTGCTGCCTTGAACTGTTCCCTCACCATGACTCTCTGCCTTGGAGTGAGCTGATTGTGGACTGGAACCTCCACAAATTGAAAGCTAAATAAAGCTTTCCTTCCTTAATTTTGAGTGTCAGGTATTTTGTCTCAGCAACAAAAGAAAAGTAACTAAGACAAGTTCACTGTGGCTCAGTTTCAGAGGTTTCAATTTATGATCACTTAGCCCTGTTGCCTGTGGGCCTGTGGCAAGGCAATACATTGTGGTAGAGACCATGTGGTGGAGAAAGCTGCTTGGGCCAGAGTTATAATAAACCCTTGAGTGCCAGGTATGGTGGTGCATGGTAATCCCAGCACTTGGGAGGTTGAGGCAGGAAGATCATTGTGAGTTTGAGACTAGCCTGGGCCACAAAGTGAGCTCAAGGCCAACCTAAACTGCATAGTGAGACCCTGTCTCAAAAAGAAAAAATAAATAAATAAATAAACCCCTGAGAGTAGTGAATAAAAACTTTCTTCCACTAGGCACCACCTCCTAAAGTTCCACCACCTCCCAAAGGTGCCACAGGCTAGAGACCAAGCCCTCAATATATGAGGAGACATCCATCCAAACCACAGCAAACAGTAGCCCACTAATGCTCATGAGTTTTATTATTCAATTTTTTTTTACCTTTGACTATGTTATAGGCAGGGTTTGCAAGGGAAACAATTTAATACAGGACACATCATTTATAGCATTATTTTATAGTAGTCAACCAAAGAGTCAAATGCAAAAGAGTTCAAGAGATCTCTTCACACACTAAAGACCCAAAGAATTCCCCTGAGGGCCTGGATCCCATGGCAATGTCTTGCACGAGTCCAACTGAAGACCTAGATCCCATGACAGTGCTTCCATGAGTCCAACTAGAGGCCTAGAGCCCACAACAATATCTCATGCAATTCTGTTTCATGGATCTGCACTGGGAAGGCCCAAAGGTCAGTGGTGGAAGCTAGAAAGTCTGTGCCAGTGGGGTGAAGGATCTGTGCTAGTAGGCTAAGGGATCTGCACTTAAACCAGGAAGTGACATTCAAAGTAAGGGCCAAAGCTCCCCCTAAAACAGCCATCCTCAGCAACAACAAAGTCCCGAGCTTCTCTGATGATGAGAACAGCTGAGTTCATATCAGGAAAGCCAGCATAACAACCTCCTCCAAGAGAACCAACAGCACCACCTCTTCCTCTCCAGTTCTCCTTTTTATGTTGTTGGCAACAATCCCCAGATGGGCCCTCCACACCCAGAACTCCACTGATTCAGTTCAACTAGGTTTTACAAGTTGACCAGTTGTCAATCCACCACAGACTACACTCATCTAATCTGCTTTATATCCATACTTTTCCATACTCTATCAATTTTTCACAAACATTCATTGAGGCAAGCATAATTAGGTCTAATTTTAAGTGTTGGGCTGGAGAAATGACTTGCTCGAAGTTTTCCAGTCATTAAGAGGTTTTGTGTTTTCTCCTCTGTTCAGAGCTGGCTCTCTCTAAGATGTGGTCCTTGCTCCCTTAGGTTATAGTTTGTAATTTCCTGTCTTGTATTTAGGTTGCTTGTTCTTGCAAGTAGTTTGGGAAATTTTAGAAAACAGCTAGTCTGAGACAGACCTGTAATGTGCGTTGCTCTGGGCTCAGCAGGTAGATCCATTCACCAAGAGATGGCTTCTCATTCTTTGTTTTTTATTTTTATAACATTTTATATAACTCATAAGACAGTGCCTGTATAAAAATTCACACAAACTTGCTAGAGGGCATACAATTTCCTAAAATGCCCTGGGTTTTTGTTACATTCAGTTTTCTAAGGATGTACTCAAATCAATGCTAAAATGCAAAAGTATTTGGTAATTCATTATCTTTGGTAAAACTATCCTTATTATTTTGTCTCCTCACAGTATTAACTCTGATATCTACTTTGTGCAGGGTCTGCCATTACTAGGCTGTCAGAAAAACATTAAGGGCACGTATTTCCAAATAGCAGAGATGGCCCCCACAGCCTCCACCCATGTTTGAGAATCATGGATCTACACAGTCAGACAGGCAGCTTCCCACCAGGAGTCCCAGGACTCCTCCCAACTGGGCAAGAAGCAAACCCCTGTGAGGAAAGGTACAGGCTGAGGCCATCACTGCAATGACCCAAGGGGCTGAGCTACGGTGGGGTCAGGTCCCGCACTCTCACCATTCAAGCAGCCAATTCCATCACCAGTAAGTAGATGTCCCAGTTGGCTAGTGAATGCTGCTGCTGGTCCCACCCCAAACTTAACAAGAAGAGGGAAATTTGAGGCCAATAAGGGCACGACTTTTTCCCTGGATTCCCTCTCATCCTTGTCTTGCCTCTAGGAAGTCACTTCGATATTATTGGCCCAGAGCTCAAAGTAAAGATTCTTTTTAAATGTCTCCTTTTCCAAAATAGTTTTAACTTTAACAAATATTTACAAAGTATTTGTGCAGCACTATTTTGAGTGCTGGGGGTGTAGAAATAAAGCCAAGTACCTCCTTCTTAGAGCTCACATTTTACCTGTAAAAGTGGGCAATAAACTGAGAAATAGGAATATTATATAACACATAATAATATATTCAAAATAATATAAAGAAGAGAGTGGCAGTTAGAAAAGGAAATGTGGTTTTTTTTTTTTTTTTTTTTTTGCCTTAATAACCTGCCTTCCTTCTTTTTATTCATGTTCTTTTAAGCCCTTCCCTAACCCAGCAAGTTGTCTTTCCACAACTGGAAAATGAAATTTTTCATTAACTTAGTGAAGAAAATATGACAGTGTGATGACCAGAAAAGCAAACAATGTGCTACATAAACTATGAGCCTGAACCTGTGAAAGCACTGTTCTTGGTACACATGATGAAGTAATAGAACACTGAAATGCGTTTTGGTTTCCATAGTGCAGTTCCCTTTATATGAAAGCCAGCTTATATCCTGCTTATCTCTGGTGCTGTTGTTTGGATTTGTTCCCCCAGATCTCATATAAAAAGACCAGTGAGAACCTGGCTGCAGTTTTTCTTGTCGGAAGGTACCAGAGCGATAGCGTCCTTGTCTCACTTCATAATGGATTGGATCAAGCTGTTCTTCCTCCACCCTGTATCGTTTTATCAAGGGGCTGCTTTTCCTTTTGCACTTCTGTTTAATTATCTCTGCCTCTGGGATTCATTTTCTACTCAGGCCAGGTAGGCTGGATGGATCATTTTGCTCTTACTTCTTGGATCACAATAATAGAGCAGAAAGAACAGAGGGGCCTGCATGCGTGATTACACACTAGTTATGCTTGTTTTTAGCTTGTCATCCCTGGCACTGATTACTGGTTGTTTTATAATGAGCATGGATTTAGGGTAACACTGACCTGGAAATTGACGTCATGTCTGCATTGACTCAAAGTGTGATCAGCTCACATTAAATGTGAAATGGATGAAAATAAATTCTTGGGAGAAATAGTAGTTCAGATGGCACAGGAAGTTCCCCAAATCTGTGCCAAATATAGATCCCAGATATTCTTAAGCAGACTTGATTTTATGGGTTTTAATCACTTTCAATAAGATTAAATTTTATGTAGAGTAACACCTATATGTTACATTTATAACAAATTGTAATCTTTAATTTAAAATGCTTTTGCATGATTTCTTTCTCTCTTCTCCATCTTTCCCTCCCTCTCTTTTTCTTTGTTTCTGTCTCTCTGTCTCTGTCTCTCTCTAGTCTGTCTTTTTATTCTCTTCTCTTTCAATTTTTTTTTCTTTTGGCAGTACTAATGGATTGAATTAAGGGTCTTTGCATGGAGCTCTATCTCCAGCAATCCTCTTCTTTGCAGTACTGATCTCTTGAACTTGCACTGAGCGGCATCTCCAGAATTTTTTTTTTTTTAAATTTTGAGAAGGTCTTGCTAACTTGCTAAGTTGCCCAGGCTGGGCTCACACTTAGGGTCCTTCTGAATCAGCCTGCCACAGTGCTGGGCTTACAGGCATGCACCACCACAGCCAGCTCCTTTGTATGAATTTTTGGAGAAATAAGTCAAAACAAATCCTGATAGATTTGCTATCTCTCAATTTGGGGTTCAATTTGGGATGTCTCTAGAGATTTGTTCACTTGATTGTGAGATTCTTTATGTCCAACAAACTCCTTACATTAGAAATAGTTCCTATTTTTAAAGTTTTAGTGGAATATGCTTTTGTAAAGTGAAAATCCATCTGTCCACAGGCCACTTCCTAATAACTTGCTAGCCGGGCAGGGTGGCACACGCCTGTAATCCCAGCATTCAGGAGGCTGAGGCAGCAGGATCATTGCGAGTTCGAGACCAGCCTGGGCTACAAAGTGAGCTCAAGGCCAGCCTGAACTGAATACTGAGACCCTGCCTCAAAAAAGACAAAAAAATATATATAACTTGCTATTTGAGGAACTGTAATTTTTATATATGGAGGTTTCTTAGAATCCAGCTTTATCTACTGTCATGATTGCTGAGTTTGTATAGTTTGCATGTTCACCACTGGCTGATGGCCCTTACTTTCATTTCTGGGAGGTGGGGATAGGGGAACAGTTATAAAGAAGTTTATTGTTGAGAAAGAATCACAGATTAATAAATAAAAAAAAAAATAAGAGTTAAATCCCATGGATTTACTACAGGTTTCAGATAGCTCACTTTGGAGTTCTAACTCCCTCCCTCTCTGAGATGCCCTTCCCTTATCTGTAAAATGGAAATAATAATACCTGTCTCACTGGATTACTTTAAGCGTTAAAGATATTCCTCATAAGGGATTATTGGCATAATATCTGAAATGAAATAAAATTGAAAATCCTCAATGAATTATACATCCTCCACTGTACCTATGTGTAGACACCTCAATGTTTATAAATCTCCCAGGGGAGTTGCCTCTGGGTGAGAGGGACCTGTCTGGCTTCTACTTTTGCTGTGTAAGGAGTAACTGTTTCCTTTATCTTCCCCTGGCAAGTAAAGTGGTGTTGCACGGGGGGTGGGGATATAGCTCAGTGGCACAGCGCTTGCCTGGCAAGGGCAAGGTACTGAATTCAATTACGTGTACCAAAAAAAACCCAAACAACAACAACAACAACAAAGCTGGGGAAAGAGTCACCTCAAGCTGAGGATAAAGAAGAGGCCAGGAATGGTCCAGCGTTTTTATACACGAGGTATCAACCAGTCTCCCCAAGAAAGTAATTCGTGCCAGCGTGTGCCCAGCACCATTTCCAGAGCCATAATGTACACTTGGGGCAGAGTTTTCTGGTTCTGAGTTGGTAGAAAAAAAGGAGGCTTCTTTGACTCACCCTTTTGGTCTCTGACAAGTTCCTATCATACTTTTTCTGTCTCCTTTATTCAGATTTATTAATTTGGAATCCATATTTTTAAATAAACCTACAGAAAGAATCAATGTGACACACACTCCCCACCCTACCAGCCTCTGCAGTTCCTCCTCTATTTGGTTTCTGAGGAAGGCATGCTCCGCAAACCACTTTTTTGATGTTTATGTCATTGAAAAAACAACAGTGCCTTTCTTCCCTGGTTGCCTGAGGATCAGCCATTATTGTAGATGACACAGTAACTATTCTGACCAGGAAGTTCATGACCACCTGACAACTACAGTGGAAATGAATGGTCATTGATATCCTCTACCTTAGGAAAGCAATCATAGAAAGAGAGATATTTAGAGAAAACTAGTCAAAATGTAGAAAACCGCACTAGATGTTATTTTTGTATTTGGATTCAGACACTGTTTTGGTGGTGATAAGATGATTGGTGTGATTTAGGATTCCTTGGGTTACACTAAGCAAAATGAACCCAAGCCTAGACTTGCAAGACGTGGTGGCTGTGAGAAGAAAGACCTCAAGGAAATGGCAGAAGGAGTGAGAATAGGATCAAGAAGAGACAGGAGGACTGAGAAGACCAACGTTGGTGCTGCAAAAAAGGAATAAAGGTTCTTCAGTCATTAGATCTGCAGTGACTGTGTAGATTTTTCACAAGAGGATGAATAAAACTAAAAAATGAAATCAAATTCACAGGCAGGGGTGTGACTCAGTGGCAGAATGCTTGCTTAGCACATCCAAAGCCCTGGGTTCCATCCCTACCCCTGCAAAAAAAAAAAAAAAAAAAAAAACCCAAAAAATCAAAAAAAACCCCAAACATATAAAAATACATACATATAATGCATATATAGTACATGAACTCATAAGCTCTAAAATGCAGCAGTGAGAGTGAAAAGTAGACATAGTTTTTTTGTTGTTTTCAAAGACTTATTCAAGGGTGGTGTTAAGTCTCCTTTCTGTCTTGGGTTCTTTGAAGTGCTTCAAGATAGGGTAAACCCTGTAGAAAGGACTTATGTTGAGAAGAGGAAGTTAGAGAGCTCCTCTAGGTCCTTTACACTAGATTCACATACCTTCTCAGTCAGACAACACGCAGGAGATTTTAATGACGTCCCTGCCAATGAATGCTCCAGGACTGCTAAGTGCAGTGGTGGACACATTTGGTGGGAGCTAACTGAAGGTCAGGTACCCACAAGAGAGTTTCCCACAAGGCAGGATTTGTTGTCTGAGGTGATAGTTTACAGAATGATCCTCATTCTCAGGGTTTCTCTTCTTCAGAAGAACAAAAGAGAGGCTTTGGTATCATAACAACATGGCTCCTCTGCATGTTATGTGGGCCCTACTTCAGTTAGTTTTCCTGGACTGAGTTCTGAGGTGGTTGGTTTATCATGCTATTCCAAGAGTCATCAGGTCTGTTTTCTTCCAGGTACCTTTTCCTCCTGGCTGGAGGAGGCGTGCTGGCCTTGGCTGCCATGGGTGTCTATGCTGTGCTTATCTTCATCCCTGCGGTCTGCGCCGTGGTTCTGGTCTCCTCGCTTGGCCCACAGGATGTCCACAGGTGGACTTTCTTCTTTCAGATGAGCTGGCAGACCCTGTGTCACCTGGGTCTGCACTATACTGAGTACTATTTGCAAGAGCCTCCTTCCCTGAGGTAAATCACCCTGATCCTTTGGCTGTTCTCAGGTGCCCAGGGTTTGCTGGTATAGTGGGAAAGAATCTGAGTGCTGGATTTGAATCCTAATTTTTCCACATTTGAAGAATGTGGTCTTGAGCAGGTTATTATTTTTCATACTTGATCTGGTATTTTTTTAGAAAAAAAATGAGATAGCAATACTTGGCTTGCAGTTAGGCATGGGAGTGTGTGCATGTAGTCCCTGCTACTCAGGAGGCTGATGCAGGAGGATCAAGGCCATCCTGGGCAATGTGGTGAGACTTCATCTCAAAAAAATAAAAAATAATTAAGAAAGAAAAGAAGGAATAGGTAGTAAGAGTCCAAAGCCCACAGAAAAGTCCTGCTTAGGTCATGTGTTGCCCTCAGCACAGGCAGTTTAGATATCCAGCCAACAAACACTGTATAAATCCAAGGTCGACTGTGCTACCTTCCTGTGGTGGCAGCTGCCATATACCTTTTATCTTCATTCAGTCATTTCATTGCCCCAAGAGGGACAGTCACCCACCCAGAAAAATCAACAAACAAGAGCTAATGACACTCTAGAGAATTGTTTTCCTGTGTTAGTGAGATGGTCATTATTAGGGCAATAAGTATCTTTGTGCTCTCAGGGTCTCATGTTCCTGGTTCTCTCTGGTTATTAGGTACATGGTCTGTATCACTCAGACGAGAACCTGATGCCAAACTAGGTGGTGCCCTGGATTCTAACCTGCCATTGGTCTCCTCTCTTTTCCTTTCCATCCCTACCACACCCAGAATCCTGTTGTTGTTACCAAAGTCTTAGGCTTGTTTCTCTGAGGGAAAGGCAAGAAAGGTGAGGCAGCAGGTGGGCAGGACATAGGAAGTACTGAATGGGATGTGGTGAAACCAGATAAAGGCTGGTAGAGCAAGTTGAGCAGGATCTGGCTGGATGGGGCGGAAAGCTGATCCAGACCTGAAGTGAGAATGTACCTGTTAGTTTACTGGAGTTACTGCAACAAACCTCCATGGCCTGGGTAGCTTAAATGACAAAATTTGATTTCTTCACAGTTCAGGAGGCTAGAAGGCCAAAGGAAGGGTGCTGGCAGGGCTGATTTCTTCTGAGGCTTCTGGCCGTGGCTGGTAGATGGTGCCTTCTCCATGACTTCCTTCTGCATATATCTATGTCCTAATCTCTGAAGGACACCAGTTGTATTGAATTAAGGCCACCTCTCCGACCTCATTTTAATCACCTTTTTAAAGGCCCTCTCTCCAAATCCAGCCACACTTTGAGGTACTAGGAGTTAGGACTTCAGCACATGAACTTCAGGGGAGACACAGCAAAAGGTAAATTAACAGGGGTTGGTGGCACTTGGAGGCCACCCTGATTTCAGTTAGGATAAATCAAGTGAGGGAGTCAGGTTTCCTTCAGTCTTCAGGCACAAACAACCGTGGTTGGAAGTACTGTTTTCTCTCCCCAGGACAGCATGCCTGACACACTGGAGAATGTGTCCCTGTAGCTTCCGCTAACTGTTCTCCACAGTCATCCATCAGCAGGACCTTCGGTGGTAAGGCAGTAAGAGTTCAGGTGATTGATGAGGAACTCAAACTGCTGTTGACTCAGCTGAGCACACGTCACAGATCATGCAGAGTCTCGCCGTCAGAGTCTGGTTTCTAGTGAAAAATCTTCAACTTCCTGTAGTCACTTGAGCATTGAGTTATTGTTTTGTTTCTGTGGCAAATTTCCCTCAGGCCTCTAATCATAGTCTTTATAATCTATTCTTAAAATATTATAATAAATATTTTCCTATAATATTCCTCTTTCTTTTATTTGTATCACTGATTAATGATATACATTTTACCATTTATCTTTTTTGTGGTAGTGGGGATCAAAACCAAGACCTTCTCATTGAGCCCTGACCCATTATTGTTATTATTATTATTATTATTGTTGTTGTTGTTATTTTGAGACAGGCTCTTGCCAAATCACTAAATTGCCCAGGCTGGGCTTGAATTTGCAATCTTCTTGTCTCAGGCTTCCAGAGTGCTGGGATTACAGATGTGTATACCGCATCTGGCTTCATTTACCCTTGAATCCTGTCTGAAAGAGTGGATGAGTGGATCTGAATTAATTCAAGAGTCTTTGTGGGACATGATTTGCTGTGAGGTCATGTATGGCAGACTGGAATGGGAGAGATAATAAATACAGAATGCTTTCATAATAAGAAAAAAATTTCTTTCAGGTTCTGCATCACTCTTTCTTCCCTCATGCTCTTGACTCAGAGGGTCACATCCCTCTCTCTGGACATTTGTGAGGGAAAAGTGGAAACAGCAACAGGAGACATCAGGAGCAGGAGCTCTTTGTCTGAGCATCTGTGTAAGGCTCTGCCCTATTTCAGCTACTTCCTCTTTTTTCCTGCTCTGCTGGGAGGTCCTCTGTGCTCCTTCCAGAGATTTCAGGCTCACATTCAAGCATCCAGCTCTTTGTGTGGCTACACTTTCTGGGCTCTGACCCACAGGGTCCTGAAGATTCTTGGATTAGAGTGCCTAAAGGTGGCCCTGAGAGGCGTGGTGAGTGCAGGAGCAGGACTGACTGACTGCCAGCAGTTCGAATGTATTTATGTCCTGTGGTCCACGGCCGGGCTCTTCAAACTCACCTACTACTCCCAGTGGATCCTGGATGATTGGCTCCTCCATGCAGCTGGCTTTGGGCCTGCGTTTGACCGAAGCACTGGTGACGAGGGATATATCCCTGATGCAGACATCTGGACACTGGAAACTTCCCACAGGCTATCCCTGTTCACAAGAAAGTGGAACCAGAGCACAGCCCGGTGGCTGCGCCGGCTGGTGTTCCAGCAAAGCAGGGTCTGGCCGCTGTTGCAGACCTTTGCCTTCTCGGCCTGGTGGCATGGGCTCCACCCAGGACAAGTGTTTGGCTTCCTGTGCTGGGCTGTGATGGTAGAAGCTGACTATCTGATTCATGCCTTTGCCAACTCGTCTATCAGATCCTGGCCTCTGAAGCTGCTCTACAGAACTCTCACCTGGGCCCACACCCAGCTGATTGTTGCCTACATAATGCTGGCTGTGGAAGGCAGGAGCCTCTCTTCCCTTTGGTCCCTGTGTAATTCCTATAATAGTGCCTTTCCCATGGTATACTGTATTTTACTTTTTTTATTACTGAAGAGAAAGCACAAAGTTAACTGACATCTTTCCTTGTCTTTCACCTTATCCACTCATGAAACAGTTTAGGAATTGAGAGATAATGCACAATGCTATGTATGTTTCAACTTTTCCATAATAAAATGTTTTGCATATTAGATGGATATACCCAATGACTTATCATAAAAAGCTAACTGTAAGAAGGTACTCTGCTGCTACTGAGGATACAAAACAAAAACACAAGATTTCTCCCCTTCAAGTTTATTTTTCTAGGTGTGGAAGCAAAGTTTAAGTGAAGTAATATATAAAAACACAAGGGGGCTGGGAACATACTTGAGCACTTGCCCAGCATGAACAAGGTCCTGGGTTCCATCCCCAGCACTGCAAAACCAAACAGAAAACAACACAAGGTACTGAACACCACATGGGAAATGGTGTGTGTGTGTGTATGTATGTGTGTGTGTGTATATATATATATATATATATATGTATATATATAGCTCCAAAAATTGTCTAGTTGGCCAACCTGATCCTGGAATGTGAACTTTAATAATACGCATTAGTCAGCTTTTCATCACTATTTTGAAATACCTGAGGCAGGCTAACTTATGAAGAAAAGGAGGTTTAGTTAGCTATCAGTTTTTGAGGTTTGAAGTTCAAGACTGGATAGCCCCATTGGTTTGCCCTCTGGTAAGGGCCCAATGATGGATGATGTCACATCAAGTAAGGAAGGCTTGTGGGCATAATGGATCACATCTCAAAAAGGAAGCTAGACTGTTGATGGGGAGAGGACCCCGCTTTTGTAAAGAGCACTGTGGAGAATTACCAAGAGATTACCTGAAAACTGCCTTAATCTCTTTGGAGGGTACACCCTGAATTGACTTAAAGGCCTCCCACTGGGCTTTACCTCTTCAGGGTTCCATTACCTCCCAACTTCCCAATATCACCACCCTACTCCCTACTCCCAGTATCACCACCAGGCCTCCAACCTATGGGCACACAGGGGACATTAAAACTCTATCTAAGCCACAGCACACACAAAACCAAAACAGCAATGATATCATCACATTGGTCCGTTACATCCCTACCCACAGGTGTGAAACTTTTGGCCTAAACTTAGAAATTTGAAAATTTGTCTAAAGATAGGAAGGTTGATATCATTCCAGAGGATAGGTGGAAATGCACCTAAGGCTTGGTAACTACTTAAGCAATTGTTAAGTACAAAATGGACTCAACATATAACATACAAAGAGACAAATAGCAGGATGTAAATGCTGTCTAACATAACTCTGAAGGTGGATTTCATTCCTTTTCTTTGGCATATCCTAAAAAACTCTCTTTGTTCCTTGCTTGGGGGCATATCTCTGTGGTAGAGTGTCTGCCTAGTATGCTCAAAGCCCTGGCATCACAAAAACTAATAAATAAATCAGGAAAAGCAAAACAACTCCCCAAAAGAGAAAGATATCAGCATGCCATGAAATACTGAAGCAATGTCTTTTAACTAACAATTCACAGTACTGCCTCATCTGTGGGCAGCTGTGCTATTATATAATTATTGTTTTTCTTTAAATCAACTGTAAGTCCACTTATTTCTTTAAGATTTTCCTCCTTCTAAGCAATGGGGATTGATACAATTGACTTTGGTCTACTAATTATATTTTATTCTAGCATTTACTAAAAGAAACTCTTACTTGCTCAGCCATTGATATTTTCCTACTAATCTATCAATAACTGTGTTGTGTGTAATGTTCCTATCCTATTTCATAAATGGATGTATGTTTATTATTATGTGTTTCCTACAACAACCATTGAGAATAGTTAATGATTTTTCAATAGGTCACTCATGTTTAGCTCTATTTATATTCTTTAGAAGCCACTTTGAAGATACCAAAGTATAGCACAACAACTCTTGATAATCTCCTACCTCTTCTGTAACTCACTATTATTTGTCTATTTGTTTTCCTGAGAAACTATTTTGTAGATAATAATATGTAAAACGATAACCATTGATAATTTCCTACCATTTTGTGTGTAATTTGCTAAGTCCCCCCTATTATTATGTTATCCTTCTTTTATTCTTTAAAATAAAAAAAAAAAAGAAACTCTTACTTGCTCAAATGGAAAAAAAAAAGTCTGTGTACTGCTTAAACTATGTGGCTACCTAGGGTGATAGCTGTCCCACCACAAAAAGCATTATACGGGGAGTTGGAGGGTATAGCCTAAAGCGTGAGGCCCTGGGTTCATTCTCTAGCATAAACACACACACACACACACACACACACACACACAGTACTACACAAGCATCTAAGCTTGTTATGTGTTCCAAATCTAGGCTTTTCACTCTTTTCAAAATGTAAATTTGCAAATAATCTTTTAATCTTAAAAGCTGACAAAGATAGTACTAAGTCAGATCACAGGTCATCTAGAAAGTGAATAACCAACATCCAGACAGACAACCCTGATCTTTGCGCACAGAGCCTTGCTCCACCAGCAGCAAGGGTCATGAGGGACAGCGATGGCATGAGTCAGTGGTGTTCTTAACCAGAACGGTGCGGTACCATCTATCACCAAGCTCGAAAGCTCAGAGGAGACAAGGTGGACAAAAAGGGTTTCCCAGAGGTGGGAATCATCAAATGATGTAAAAAAAAACAAAAAAAACAAAAAAACAAACCTCTAAGAACATTACAAACATGCTGCTGAAATGACCATCCTTAGACTATTCCAGCGAGACAGTTAGGGTGATGCTGGTGGTACGTGGGAGGAGACTTAAAGTTGCAGCATTAATTATTATAGAAAAAAACCTTATTCAACATTTAGGGGGGTGGTGAAGCAAATTATGATTGACTATCACAGAGCTATTAAAAATTAATCTCTGAACTCAGGAGGCTGGGGGAGGAGGATCTCTTCAAGTTCAAGACCAGCCTGGGCTACACTGTGATTTCAAGGTCAGCCTGAATTACATAGCAAGGCACTGTCTCAAAAACAAAACAAACAAAAACAAAAACAAACAACAAATGCCTTGTATAGGGGTCATTCTGAGAAGCTGTCTACATGGGTGTGTTCAGTTTATGAAAATCCTTCAGTGTGCTGTTGATGGTACACACCTCTAATTCCAGCATTCAGAGAGGTTGAGGCAGGAGGAATGGAAGTTTGAACCCAGCATGGGCACCTTAGTGACTTAATAAGCACTGTCTCAAAAATAAAAAATAAAAGGAGATGCAACTCAGTAAGAAGGCTCCATTCTTAGTACTGAAAAACAAAATCATGTTGTGTATTAATGTGTGAAGTTTGATATAAAAGTTACACTTCAAAAAATTAACTGAATACTTTTAATGATTAGGGAAATGCTTCTAGGGAAATGTTAAAAATTTTAAAAAGAGGTTGGTTAAAAAACCTTTTAAAATGCAATCTGGCTTCCAGATTTATCTTCCTATTGATGATCAAAGGTAACTTCTATTCCTCTGATGGATGAATGGGGGTGTCCCCTTTGTGTCCTTTTAATTTGCATCCTGTAGGGAATATGTTGCTCAGCTGGACAGTATAAAGAACAATGTTATTTGAGTGAACTGATCTAAGGAAAAATGCCAGAGACAGAGATGTGGAGCCAGGAACCATCTGTCTGCATAGCAGACAACATGGACCCAAGATGGCAGCAGAATAAATGAGTGTGTCTTCTTCCAGCCCCTGTTTCTTTTGCTAGGATTTAACTCTTTCAGTTTTAGCCAGCTGCAACAATTGGCAACTTCAGATTCCTTGTCGTCCATTACTGATTCTGTCTCTCCCAAGCCCCTGCCCACTCTTCCAAATTCCCTTGCCACTGACTAGTTAGTTGCACTGGCTTATTAACCTCTCACTAATTTGCTCTTTGCTCCAAGAACTGGACTTGCTATTTTCTTTCTCTGCTTGAAATCTCCTTCCCCAGTGCCATGCTCTTGGACCTCCAAAACCATAAATAAATAAACTTTTGCTTCATGAGTTTCCTAGCCACAGGTATTTTGTCACAGCAACAGGAAACAGACTGAGGCAGAGAAAACAATCATCATCCTAATTAAAATGCCAATTGTTAGGTCATCCATTTAAGTCACTTCCAACAGCTTCTTTTTTACAGTATTATAGAATACAAACCCATGATATAGGAAACTGGATTCTCTACAGTCTCTCAGCTTTGCTCTAAGAGGTGAAGGAGCAGTGACTACACTTCATCTAAACTTTCCCCAAATATTCAACAGCACTCTTTTCAAAGCATTTCAAAACATCATATCATAGTGATATATGTGCACCTATGTTCATAGCAGCACAATTTGTAATTGCTAAAATGTGGAAGCAACCCAAATGTCCATCCACCGAGGATTGGATAAGAAAGTTGTGTTACTTTTATATAATGGAATATCACTCAGCTGTAAAGAAAGATAAACTCGAGGCTTTTATAGGTAAATGGTCACAACTACAGACCATACTCATAAGTGAAATAAATCAAACATACATGTGCAAGCACCGCATTGTTTCACTAGTGTAAAACCTGAAAGAGTTAATTTAAACTAGGAGATATGATAGACATTGTGAATTGATAGGAAAGCACTCAAAGGTAAAGGGCAACTGGGATGTGGGAAAAGAGAAGGGAAAGGAGAAATTTTGTATGTATGTATATGCAGGATAGTTAACATGGCTGTTCTACTGTCTTGTATTTCTTTGCTGAAAGAAACTGTCAATGAGTACTTGGTCGATCAGCATTGCATGTCTGTATCTGTTTTCATGAGAAACCACTTTGAAGATATCAATATGTAATACAACAAACATTGTTAATTCCCTACCACTTTGTTTGTAACTCCATACTGTCTGTACTGTTCTTTTGCTATTTTGTAAAATGTTGTCTGTCTGTTGTTTTCCTCCTTTTATTTTTAAAATTTAAGAAAAAAGGAACGGTAAAGTGAGCATTGCCTGTAGCATTTTCTTCCAACTGATTCTGACATTGGCAAAGGTGCCCCTCTCTATCAGGTGGTTTGATTCAATTCCATTCTACCACCAATCATCTCTGGGACCCCAGTAATGCTGTCTTGGGGCCTAAGTTTTCTACTGTGTTCTAAATGTGTGTGTGTGTGTGTGTGTGTGTGTGTGTGTGTGAGAGAGAGAGAGAGAGAGAGAGAGAGAGAGAGAAATAGTAAGTGTTTTGACAAGTTTTCCACACATTAAGCAGGAAAAGTAAAGCATCCTTCTCCAATTTGGCTCTCTGATCACTCAGCATGAATTTTACAGGGAGAAATGAAAGAAAATCTGCGGGATGCCCAAGGTTCATTGTGAAGAACTAGCATTTTCAGTGTTTCTCCCACTGTCTTCACCTTTGAAAGAACAAAGTGATATCTGTGGGGCTCATTAAAAAACTGAGAGTAAACACTATTGCTATAGTGCTAATAAAACACTTAACTTTTCTTGCTTCCCTACTTTTAACTTGTTGGCCTGTATTTGGCAGCTAATCAC